ATAATGCATCCTATTTTCATTCATTCCAAAATTTTTTGCATCTCGAAATTTCCAGAATTTTTTCTCCCAATGCATCTCGAAATTTGCAAATTTTTGAAAAAAAAATATATTTCCTGGAATTATTACAGACCGGCCTTGAAGGGAAAAATTCGAGTTTCTTTCAGGACATAACTGAAATTTACGAAAAAAATCTCTTCAAGTTAACCGGCAATGTTCTTTTCTCTTTCATGACACTTTCCTATTTGTGTGCACATTATTTAAATTCAGAAATTAGGATAAGCAAATTATTCATTAGTCAACATCGCGGAAAAAAAAAAACTTGTACGAACATACACACAAAAATACATACATAGTTATCAGGGAAAAGCTCATCTGCTTTCTGAATATCAGTTTAACATTTGCGAAAGATTCGTATAACTCAGAAGATGAATAGTTCGAACAACAGCAAACTGATTATTACGAGCGTCAAATAAGCACGCAGTGCAATAAAAAGTTAATAAACCAAAAACAGGAACCTAAAATCAATCGGATGAATTTTTGAACCAAAATTTTTCGTTTTTGCCCTCTTTTTTTCATTCTTCCAGGTCAAAAAAAGCCAAGAAACTACTCTCATCTCTTTTGAGACATAAAAAAAAAAGTTATCGAAAACGCATGTTAATTATTAGAACTAGTCAATGCTTGTCTTATGTTATTAATTTCAGCTTTCTTAGAAGAAAACATTTGTCCTCGTTCTTTTTATGCCGTTTATTCCCAGGGTGCAATCCGACTCATCTGGTTGCTCCCGCGATAATTCGCTCTTGCTCCTGAAAATTATTATTGTTTTTTTTTTTTTTTTGAAAATCATCAGCTTGCTTCTAAATAACCCTTTTACTGACAGCTTTGCTAGCGGATGGTTGCTTTTTGGTGTTTATGCCACCTTTGGAACATTTCCAAATACCTTTGCCTCTTATAACGAATGAACACGATTGGGGGGAAGAGGGGAGGGGGGGGGGGACTTTTCCATGAATCCCAGTCTGTTCTCCTCAAGAACTGGTACCGAAAAACAAGAATACAAATTTTTCATGCG